TACCATCATACACCCTGAGCCCAGACACTACCAAGTAAAGATTATTACCCTCTAGCTAGGATAGACAATTTTATAGATTAGTTGCTGCATGATGAGATGAGATCTTTGAGACCCTAAAAGTTGATATCATGGCCAAACATGGAAGTTTCAATTCAATTTGAATGCCATCATACACCCTGAGCTCAGATACTACTGAGTAATAATTATTACCCTCTAGCTAGGATGGACAAGTTTACAGATTACATGCAGTTGCTTCATGATGAGACCCTCAAAGTTGATGTCATGGTCAGACATGGGAGATTTGAATATGAAACAAATTCCAGTTGCTTTATGAAGGCATAAACTTGTGACCACAATTCAGATTGGGTTCATTAATTTGAATCAATCAATTTCAGGGTAAGGTTCTATTCTTTTAATAGTACCAATGAGGCTTGACTTTAAAGATCCGGCATCAAACTCTTAAAAAGAGTTTGTCATTATGGTCAAGTTTTACGAATCAAAACAGAATGAAAATGAGTGGAAAAATGTGAACACTTATGATAAAACTTTTCAAAAATATAGTTTTTTGTCTATTCAAATTAAGTTTTCTGGAGTGTTTAAAGCTATATACCCTGAGTGCAAAGATTAGCTCTTAGAAACAAAGATGAAGCTCTCATTTAAGTAGCAAAGTCAAATGAATGGAAATGGTAAAAGCTACAGTACAGTAAAACCTGTCTATTTTGTGTCTAAGTAGAACACATTTGGCACCTCTAAACGTGTTCCACTTGGGAGGTGTTCTACTTACAGAGGTTCATTTAACATTAGGTCAGTTGGTGTTAGGACTCTGAAAAGTGTTCCACTAACAGAGGTGTTTCACTTTACAGGCTTCACTGAATCAGATATGTCAAAATGTCCCCCAACTTGTATATAAAGTCACGCTAATTTCGAGCCCCTTTTATATTTTCTAAACGAGCTGGAGATTTATTTGCATATTCAACCCCTAGATAGAGATTAATTTCCAAAATAGATTTGAATTATTTGCATATGTTTTTCAAGAACCTCCCATTAAAAATATGATAACATGGTTAAACTCCTGTCTCCATAGAGTAAATACATTGAAGTTTGTTTTGGGAATCTGTATTACAACCTATACGACTTAAACCAAACATCATCATTTTTTCATTAAAATTATCTGTTATGGGATGAGTCATTTGAACCCTCAGTTGAATTTGAAAAGGTCAAAGTGAACAAAAAGACAAGGTAAAAAAAAGACACAGAACAGCCATAAGTACTCTTCAGATAGATTGACATGTCCAAAAGTAGGTCAAATCAGGTCAAAAGTAGGTCAAACTAAGCAAGGGGGGTTTTAAAGTGTTTTCACCTGTTTCCAAAATATAAATCCCTTTGATTTCAATGCAATAAGATATTTGTGATAAAGAAATGATAGAGGATGCTAGTACAATATACAAAGGATGCTAAAAACTGTCCAGTATATTTTTCATTAGAGAGTTAGAGTCAAAGTGAAGTACATTAGGCAGATAAAGAATTAAAATGAAATTAAATAAAGAATTAAAATGAAATTATTGGAAAGGGTACACTTTTGGATATCTAATCTATGATCCCGACTTCTAAAAAAAAGTAATAGAATATCAGTGTTCTCTACAGGATTTTTTCTCAAGTAGGGGCAAATTTCAAAATTTGTAAATATAAGTCTCACATGATTTTTCTCACTTTCAAGTGGGTGCAAATGGATTTTCAGGTAGGTGCAAATCAGTTTTAAAATCTCAGGTGGGTGCTGTGCCCACTTGCTTTAATGCTGGAGAGATAAATGAATATTGTTTCTTGCAAAAAAGATTCTTTAAGGGGTCCTACTGTATCACTTTACTTTGATATTGATCTGTTTCAAATAAACGCAGATTTTAAAGAAAGAACTGATTAAACAAATACTAAATATCCTTTAAATTGAACATTTAAAATTTAGTCAAATCTTTCATACAAAATCAATATTGTATAGCTCCATTAAAAGTTGTGTATTCAATATGACATAAAGTGTCCACCATTGAAATTGAATAAAGCAATACTTATGAGAACTGAAGATTGAAAATTTTTCTCAACGATCACCGATTCAAAGCATTGGTGTTTCTAATCTTAAATGTATTACATTAAAATTATATCGTTATTAAAAACAACAATTATTCGGCATTTTCTTATTGATATAATACTCAATAAATTTCTTAAACTAAATTTCCAATGAATTTATATTTGAATTCAAATCCTGTATAATTACATATATGTTAAATATAGAAAATAAGTATTTAGAATAACATGACATTGATACCCACCCTCGGATAAAATGTCAGGGTAGTCATGTTTTGAAATACAAAATAGAGTGGAAAAGCATGGAATTAGCAAGGAATAAACTAAACAGGCATGTAGTCAACACTCTAAATTGTATAGAAATGCAAGAAAATCAGATACTTTATTCAAATTTTAGAGAGAAATTGACTGAAATAAGCATGAGCAGACGAACTTGGATGTACCGATTCCTGTAATATCTCCCAATATGATACCATAGTTATTTCTAAATCAGCTTATCAGCGATGATATTAATAAATATAGTCAGTGTATATTATAGTGTGTACCGTACAGTAAAACAAAAAACTAAAATACAACTTTGCTTCTGTTAGTAAGATGTGAGGGTTAAATTCACGATAAGGAATTTGGGATACTCTCAACATTCCTTTCAGGAAATCTGTAAGAAAAACCCTTTGCAAGACTCGAGTATGAATTTGAAGCTTCCTCTTTAGTTGTAATTGCAGGTATTCGTGTCAGGGTATGTTTGGAATATTTCCAAAATGTCAGTTTCGACTCAAGTATCTTGGTTCCTCATTATTTGGTTGGATTATTTTGATCAGTTTTGATTTTTTATCTAAAGGGTAAAACCAAACTTTTATACATTTCAAAGAAAAAACTCCTGGGGAGAATAGGGCTAAAAATTCTCGTAAACCTTGAAAGTCAAACTATATAAACAGTCAAGAACATAGAAGATTTAGAATAACGCATAATAATAATCTCAATTTAGGATTTCACTTTATGTTACCATGGCAATGATGCCCCATGGTGAAGAATTAAGAATAAGAATGGAATATGTAGGCATATAAATTAAAAAGAATTGAATATTCAGCCAAAATGCACTGCTAAATTGAAAAAAAAGTGAGTCAAAGTCTTAGTATTAATCTTGGTCTCAAGGTTATTCAGCAATCTTAACTTCTAATATTTGGTTCTGTCAAATAATGTACCCATGTTTAAAAAGTCATTTAAATTATGTTTTCCTCTCTAAATTTCTCTGCTAGTTGAAATAAAATGTCTGATTTTCTATTTCTGTTTAATTTAGAGTGTTGTTCACTAGTACTATACATCCCTGTTTACTTTATTCCTTGCTGATTTCATTCTTTTCCACTCTATTTCACTCTATTTCACATTAAACATGCCCATTTTGGCATTTCATTGAAGGTACCTATATTTTCACAGACTAGTTTGAATAAGGACCGAATATGTAAATAAAAGGCATTATATCAAATCCCACTGAACGCCTCAACAAATATACCCATCATATACTTCATACAATAAGGATACCCATATTTGGACTTTATACAAATACGGGATATTTTTTGCCCAGGTATATGTTGTAAATAGTTAGTGCTTGGACACTTAGTTGTTTATAACTATATCATATTCAGACCTCAGATTTATAAGGTTCATAAAAAACATTATGCGTAGATCTACCCTTGTTGAAACAATTGTTAACAGATTAGGCAAGCTCTCTTCTTACTGACTCATTGACAGTTTGTTGGCCTACAGATACAGATTAAGTCCTTACCGATGCCGGTATCGAAGAGTCTTATACGGATGGTTTTGTGCCAGGATAAAGGTAAACAACATATGTGAACAGAGTTTTCAATCAGAATACTCATTTCCATGTTATGGCCAAATGAAATATCCCATACCAAATATAGATACAATTCAACTATTCTCGTTCAACCCCCAGGTGCAACCATGCGATACTTCATGTATATTGGTGTTGATTCATTAAAACATGTTTAAGGTCTCATGGAAGTTAACAGGAAGTGACAAAACAAAAAATGACAAAGCCATGCTGGATTTTGAAAATTTTTTGAACCAAGATAACAGAGTTCTGTTTGGACCTCCAGTCAGTTTAACTAGTTCCACATATCATTTACATGACCAGGAACACAGTTGAAATGGTCAGAATGACCATAAACATGATAGAATAACCTTTTCAGCCCTCTGAAAATGTGACTAAAAATTAGCTAAGAGTAGGTGCTCAGGAATGGTCACTGAACAGAATCTTTTGACTTTTTCAGAAAATGTGTCCAATATATTGCTCTAAATGATACAATTCAAAAAAAATTGATATCATTCTTAGAAAAAGAAAAAATTGAAAAAAACTGAATTGAAAATCGATCTATTTTCCTTTTTACTACAGCCATTATTGTTTCAGACGATTTTTTAAAATTTCAAAGATTGTGTCATTTAGAGCAATATATTGGACACATATTCTGAAAAAATCAAAAGATTCTGTTCATTGACCTTTCCTGAGCACCTACTTTTAGCTATTTTTCAGTCACATTTTCAGAGGGCTAAAAAGGTTATTTTATCATGTTTATGGTCATTCTGACCCTTTCAATTGTGTTCCTGGTCATGTAAATGATATTTGGAACTAGTTAAACTGACTGGAGGTCCAAACAGAACTCTGTTATCTTGGTTCAAAAAATTTTCAAAATCCAGCATGGCTTTGTCATTTTTTGTTTTGTCATTTCCTGTTAACTTCCATGAGACCTTAAGTATAGCAATAAAGCAAAATGCAATAATGTCTTTTTCAAAAAACAAAGGACGCATCTATACCACAAGCAAATATTCAACAAAAATTTGAATTTCAAGTTTTCACAACTTTTGTAATTGATTGACAGTTTGGAAAGTTTGACAGAACAAATTCTTACCTTCCGATTTCTTCTCCGACTTCATAGAAGTCTTCAAACTTGTCCTTCCGGAATTCCATGTTGAATTAATTCCTAATTAATGTAATATTCCTTAATTGTCAACTTAGTGTAGTTTGTATACATCGAAATATCATATCTAGCGTTGAATTTTGAATTTTATCAGAGGAACTTCCAGCACTTTTGACCAGCCCGCTGCAGTGCACTTTCTGTGTGACCCGGAAGTGAACTTTCAAAGATGTGAATATCCTATAATAAATTGAAACCCACTTTAACCACTTCAAAATTTGTTTTTCCCATAAAATTAACTTGATTAATGATTTATTGATATCAAAACATATTATCTCATATTTGTTTGATGTGATTTTCAAACATAGTTCGTCTGCTCAAATTCACCTCTGTAATTTTCTAGAAAAAATGGCTGAAAAAATTTCACCTTTTGTTTATTGGGGGCAGAATAAGGAGACTATCACGTTGAAAATAGATCTGAAGGAAGTCGAGGTATGAACAAGGAGATTGGAAATACGATACGATGTTCATGTAATGTTGCATTGTGTTACAGTAGTGAGCTACATGTATATTATATTCTACTATATTCACCTATAGTTTTTTTTAATTTGTAATCTATGCTTGCTGTATATGTTGAGCTATTCTTTATTAGAGATCTTAGGTCAAGGTCACAATGACATTATACACTGTATCTTGTAAACAAAACTGAACTGAATGACTCATTAACTCTTGACCTTCTAGAATATTCGGAAACTAGTAAACATTTAATCAGATTGAATCATGTCACTGAAGATGTCCAATCAAAACTCAACAAGTAGTCTTAGTTCTAGAAGATTCTTTCTAGATCATTCTTTCACATTATAAAAAGAACAGCACAGTGACTCTCATTAGCAGATAATTAAACCATCATAACTGGACATCTCAAAGGAACTAAATAGAGCAGAATTTCAAAGTCTATCAAAAGGACATCTTCTTAGCAGAAAATTACAGACACCTACTTTGGGAACATTTATAACAGTGCAAACATACAACCTGAGGACTTTATATGGACATATATTATAACACACACTATATACGGATTATCATATACATTCGTGGATTATCATAAACATTTGTGGATTATCGTTAAACATTTGTGGATTATCATCAAACATTTGTGGATTATCATCAAACATTATTGGATACGAACATTATAGGATTACAACAAACATTATTGGATTATTACAAACATTGGAGAACTATTAACGATTATTGAAACATTTCGTGATCTGGAACATTCCCAAGGATCGTCAACGACATTTTTCGACATCAAGAATAAGCTGTATCGTTGATTGGACATCACTTAAGTATTAAACCTCCTTTATATTATTGTTATATTATTTAGTTTTCAAAATATAAATATATTGTTATCATATTTTAATTGCTGTTTTTACTTTCTGTTATTTTCGTACGTAACAGAAATTGGGGGCTCGTCCGGGATACAACTACAACAAGCTAAAATTCAAATATTTCAAAATTAGAAATCCAAAACTTGTACATTAAAATTGTGAAGACAGCAATTAATCGAAAATGAGTTTTGAGGTTGAGACATTTTTAGAAGCGCCCTCTTTGGAGGAATTTGATGATTTAAAGAAAACTGAACTTCTGGCAATTGCAAAACATGTTGGCCTGTCAGTCAAAAGTTCATACAAAAAGGATACAATTAAAAACTTTGTACTTCAATATTTGGTCGCAGAATCACTTCTGCCTGAGCAGCCAGCCCAGCATGTTGAGCAAGTTGATCCTATTAAGCTGAAAGAACTAGAATTGAGAGAGAAAGAGTTAGAAATTCAAAAAGAAAGAGAAATTAGAGAATTGAGAGAGAAAGAAATAGAAAAAGAAATTAGAGAGAAAGAATTACAAATGCAAAATGAAAGAGAAATAAGAGAACAAGAAATTGAATTAAAGAGGCTTGAAATAGAAGCTAAATCCAAAACTGATGAACATGCTACTATGCATCAACATTTTGAAAATAGGTTTGACGCTTCAAAATTTCTCAAATTTGTACCTAAATTTCAAGAGAAAAATGTTGATAAATACTTTACACATTTTGAAAAGGTTGCTCAGAGCCTAGACTGGCCTAAATCTGCATGGCCAGTTATGCTCCAGAGTGTATTCATTGGAAAAGCAAGTGAAATATTTGCCTCTCTCTCAGGAGAAGTATGCTCTGATTATGACCTAGTTAAAAATGCAATTCTTAAAGCTTATGAACTAGTACCAGAAGCTTACAGACAAAAATTTAGAAATGCCCACAAACAGAGTGACCAAACCCATGTTGAGTTTGCTCGAGAGCAAGAGCAGCTTTTTGACAGGTGGCTTGTCTCTAAAGATGTATCTGAAGAGTTTAAAAAGCTCAGAGAGCTTATGCTAATAGAACAATTTAAAAACTGTGTTCAGTATCACATTAGAACTTACTTAGATGAACACAAGGTAGAAACTTTAAGTCAAGCTGCCACCCTGTCTGATGATTATGCTCTTACTCATAAGGGTAGTTTTATCAAAGGTAATCCTAACTTTAGAGGTTATCAAGGTAACAAACCTTCATATGATACAAAATCAAATCAGTCCTCATCATCAAATACATCACACAAAGCAAAAGACCAGTCTAATTCATCACAGAGTTCTAGCTCAAAATCAGATCAATCAAATTCTTCAGGTCCAAAATCAAATGTCACCTGTAATTATTGTAAAAAGCCTGGTCATCTTATTTCTGAATGCTATAGGATTAAGAATAGAAGAGAGATGTCTGGTTCTGCTCATTCAAATGGTTGTGCTACTGTTCCCATTTCAAGAAAGCCCATTGTTTGGGATTCATATACTCATACTGAGAAATCAACTCATAGTGATATTATGGAGGATTATAAGCCTTTCATGTCGGAAGGATCTGTGTCACTGTCAAGTGACGGTACCAATTCAAAGCCAATTAAGATTCTTAGAGATACGGGTGCATCTCAGACTTTGTTGTTAGAAGGTGTCCTTCCTTTATCTGAGGAGTCATTCACAGGTACCCATATTTTGATGCAAGGCATTGAATTAGGTTTTACTAAAGTTCCCCTCCATCGTATTCATATCACATCAGAGTTAGTCAAAGGGCCAGTTATTGTTGGTGTTAGGCCACAACTTCCTGTTGAAGGAGTCGCATTGCTTTTAGGCAATGATTTAGCTGGGGGTAAGGTATCTTTAGACCCCATTGTTACTGATCAGCCTTGTTCTATTGAGGATTCTGTCCAAGAGGACTCTGATATATCCTGCTTGTGCTGTTACTAGGGCTATGGCTAAAAAGTTAGCTGATAGCGGGGATTCGTCTGTGGGAGATGACTTTGATAGTGGGTTTTTAAGCTCCTTGTTTGATGATGAATGTCACTCACCACTTGTTAAAGATGATCCTTATCCTATTTTAAAGGCAAATTCTTCATTGAAACAGCCTTCTGTTCGAGCCAAGCAGTCAACTATTGAGGCAAATTCTTCATTGAAAAAGCCTATTGCCAGAGGTGATTCACCTTCTGAGCAGGATCACTATTTTAATGCGGTTTCGCCCGCTCTTGCTAGTCCTGATGAAGTTTCATCTTCTTCTGCTAGTGTTCATGAGGTTTCATCCCCTCCTTGTTCTGAGGTTTCATCCTCTTCTAGTTCTGAGGTTTCATCCTCTATTTCTGATAGTGATTCTTTGAAAAATGATCCTCATTCTAAACATATGTTAATTTATGAACAAGAGCATGATCCATCACTCATTGATCTTCATAAAAGATGTCTTACTATTGATGAAGCTGACAAGGTCCCTGTTTGTTTCTACAAAAAGGATGGCATATTAATGCGAAAGTGGAGACCTCCTGAAGCTTCCCCTGAAGACGATTGGGCAATTGTACATCAAATTGTTGTCCCAAAATCATATCATAAGGAAATCTTGAGTCTAGCTCATGATTCTCCCATGGCAGGTCATTTAGGAGTAACTAAAACATACCATAAAATACTCAATCATTTCTATTGGCCCAAATTAAAACAAGATGTCCAAGAGTATTGTAGGTCTTGTCATAAATGTCAAATGGTAGGGAAACCTAACCAGCAAATCTCATTTGCTCCTTTACAACTTATACCTGCATTTGATGAACCATTCAATAAGGTTCTTATTGATTGTGTTGGTCCATTACTTAAACCAAAATCTGATAATCAATATCTGCTCACTATTCTTTCTATGGCCACACAGTTTCCAGAAATAAAATCACTCCTTATGCTTAGGAATAGCAAAACCAAGTATATTGTGAAATCACAAATCAACAATTTCACATTAGTTGGGCTACCAAAGGAGCTCATATCTGACTTACAATCTAACTCAGTGCTGAGTGATTTCATTTGCATTGATAAAACTACTCCTGTGAGGTGTAGAGAGCTACACATGATGAAAAGGTATGTTGAGCGTGATAAATTTCTTACTCAGCATGACCTTGTGCTCTTAGGTCTTAGGCCTAACTTGTATGTAAATGATAACTATATGTTATTCAAGAGTCAGATATTGTAAATTATAATGATTAACTCATGAAGATTATATTATATGATAGGCAAATTGGAGATTTGAGATAACTGTCACTTATATACTGTATATAAAAACATTTGCCTAAACAGTGAAATTGATATTATATGAACAAAAAGATTGTATTAAGATTATGTGAGCATTATAGGTGATCATTAAATTGTGTCACAAGATTACTAAATAACATCAGATTGTACTAGTAGAAACAGTTACATAAGATCATGTGATAATGTAAAACATTGTACAAGTTTAGTGTTTGTCAGACTCAAAAAAAAAGGTATACTATTGTACAAGTTATATGATCTATTGCATGTATTGTATTTATGACTTGATGCATAACTTAGTTTGATACTATTGTAGTATGATACTATTGTAACACATTATTACAGAACATTATATGTTATTAGATTGTACTCACACTGTAACGATAGAAAGTATTATATACTTGTAAACATACTGCATATAAAAAGACTATTGTAAACAAATATTATGTTAGTCTCAACCTCACTTTTAAAAATTGTAACGCTCGCTACTCAAGATATTATTGTAAAAGTTTTTCATTGCATTCAAAACTTTTCTTTTAAGGAGGGAGGTGTTACAGTAGTGAGCTACATGTATATTATATTCTACTATATTCACCTATAGTTTTTTTTAATTTGTAATCTATGCTTGCTGTATATGTTGAGCTATTCTTTATTAGAGATCTTAGGTCAAGGTCACAATGACATTATACACTGTATCTTGTAAACAAAACTGAACTGAATGACTCATTAACTCTTGACCTTCTAGAATATTCGGAAACTAGTAAACATTTAATCAGATTGAATCATGTCACTGAAGATGTCCAATCAAAACTCAACAAGTAGTCTTAGTTCTAGAAGATTCTTTCTAGATCATTCTTTCACATTATAAAAAGAACAGCACAGTGACTCTCATTAGCAGATAATTAAACCATCATAACTGGACATCTCAAAGGAACTAAATAGAGCAGAATTTCAAAGTCTATCAAAAGGACATCTTCTTAGCAGAAAATTACAGACACCTACTTTGGGAACATTTATAACAGTGCAAACATACAACCTGAGGACTTTATATGGACATATATTATAACACACACTATATACGGATTATCATATACATTCGTGGATTATCATAAACATTTGTGGATTATCGTTAAACATTTGTGGATTATCATCAAACATTTGTGGATTATCATCAAACATTATTGGATACGAACATTATAGGATTACAACAAACATTATTGGATTATTACAAACATTGGAGAACTATTAACGATTATTGAAACATTTCGTGATCTGGAACATTCCCAAGGATCGTCAACGACATTTTTCGACATCAAGAATAAGCTGTATCGTTGATTGGACATCACTTAAGTATTAAACCTCCTTTATATTATTGTTATATTATTTAGTTTTCAAAATATAAATATATTGTTATCATATTTTAATTGCTGTTTTTACTTTCTGTTATTTTCGTACGTAACAATTGTTTACAAGGAGTTGAAATATTCGACGAAACTTCTTCAAATTTTTGTTCAAATTATCTCAACATTTTCTGAATTCAAGACAGTAAAACTGTTAATCTGTTCTAAAGATCCCAGTCTTACCCTGGGGATTTTTTTTTCAACTGGCAGATTCAGAAATATTCCTTATTTCATTTCATTTTTTTAGTCTATTCCTTTATAGGTTGTGTCTAGTGACTCTCAACCAAGACTATATACAATTATTTTGAAGCTTTTTGCAAGCCTGGCTTATCCCGTGCCAGGACTATAGTCCCGAGAACATCTCAATCTTTTGCCTGTACGATTACAACATGGGAGAATTGTCTACACCTGTTACACTTAAGATACCTAAGACATTCTCAGGACTATGGTCCTGGCACGGGATAAGCGTAGGCCTTTGAAAGGCATCACAGTTCCCCATGCTTTCTTACAATGTTGTGATACATCAACCATTATTTGAATCTTCTTTTGATCTTGAGAGTTTCTGGAAAAATATATGCTTGTTTTGTGTGAGACTCCAGAATCATTGGTATAGACTTATTCCTCACTTTTGTACGTAAATGGAAGTTCAAAAATGGTCAATCTCTGCGCTTTTAATGGTTCTGCTTGTGTTACAATATTGAGGCATTATTATTGAACATTCTGGCATCTCACAAACTAATCTAATCAAAACACTTGAAGTTCATCCACCCCAGGCTGCGCTTTTATGCTACCTACTGTAAAAGATCCAATATTCTACCACAGTACATCCTTTAGTATATTTTTTGGGCTAGAAGTGTTATATTGCAGCTTCATTTGCCAACTTTGAAGCACCATTTTCAGGTCTGTAATGTCAGAATGTAACATCTAATTATGATTTGCTTTTAATGATGATTGTCTTTTTTCCAGCCTCGTGAAGATGAAGTTGATCTAACAGAAGAACATCTGAAACTGGAACTTGATGGTGTTGGTGTACAAGGTCAAAATAAATACACTGTTGACCTGGAGTTTTATCTTCCAGTTGATCCTGAAGTAAGTCTATGGGGTGTCTCAGTATTCTTTAAATTTCTCATATTCTCCCGCTACACCACTTCTCACTCTTCCCCTCCACTTCAACTTCCTCAAGTGGTAGTTTTAGTTCCTGGGAGTTTTGGTGTGTATGGTGTTAGGAAGCAATTCTTTTGCGGCCTGTGTCTGTAACAAATGGCAGGTGGTGACATTTTGCATATTAATACCTTCTTTAAATACTTGCATGAGACAAACCAGGTGTTGCATAGTTACTTTTTTTTAAATGTTGTTTAAATATTTTGCATATTTATACATCGGCTGGGTCCAAAATATCCTTAGAAACATTGTGAGCTCACCTTGCGAGGTGGTATTCTTGTCTCAACCGGTAGGTACCAGAGCTTCAGTCTCTGTGCTAGCCATAGCCAGCTTACACAACAAGGGACTCAATTTTTCAGAGATTCATAATTTCTCTTGAAGATGGATTTTTTTTCAATAGAGCTCTAGATTTTGCCAAAACATTAGATTGGTACCAAATTTGATTTTTCGAATGCCAATTTTTGTTGAATGCCTTTTTTGATCATAATTATTTCAGTTTTACTCAAATTACTCTCAAAAAACACATTTTCAAGAAAAAATAGGAAAGAAAGTTTTTCAAAGTTAAAATTTTAGACTATTGACATGTGTTTGTTTACGTGATTATTTAAAATTATTCATTAACCTATACTGCCCTTACTGCCCTACTTAATTACTGTATGAATCATGTTTTAAAACATGAAATAAAGAGGAAAAGACAGGAACTAGCAAGGAATAAAGTAAACGGACATGTATAAAATACTCTTATTTATACAAAAATACCAGAAAATGAGAATGTCATTCAAATTTTACAGAGAAATGAGTGTAAAATGACATAATCAGACATTAAATGGATGTGTACAATATAAGATAACTAGATTCAAAGTCTTTTCCATCCATAAAATCACATTTACTATTCATTATAATATTACTTCAAAATACTTGCCCGAGTGATATTAGAATAAATTATCTGTTGTTTCGGATATATTTATAAGTAGGCCTATGCTCTTGAAATTTTTTCTAGTTTTCCATCTTTTTCAATTTATTTTGTATTTTGAACATAACTTTTATCAATGGGTGTTTCATACACTGGATAGGCATGGTGTGATTTAGTATCCAAAGCTTCAAGTTATATTCTTCAAATTGCATGTACTGGTACATGGTAGGTAGCTTATTTTCTCTTTCATCATTTCTTTTATTTATCTAAGAGGGAAGAAGGGGAGATGGTATGGGACAGGGTAACTGATATATTCAGTAATTCAGTCAAGAAATATAAATGACACTTTATACCAGAAATGCTTAAATTCCACATAACAGTATTGAAATTCTACAATGGTGACATTTTCATAAAAATATGAACATTATAATAAAGTCTAATCATTCCATCCTAGCCATTTTTTGCCTCTCTCAGCAACCATTTTACCCGAACCCCCCCCCCATCGAACCCCCCCCCTCCCTGGCCAAATATTCTTTCAAAATCATGCAGTTTTTCAGCATTCTGAGCACAAGTGATTTTGGCCATTTTTGGAACCAATTTGTCAAAAGTGAACCCCACTGGAATTTTTCAAAAAGTGATCCCCCTTGGCATATCCTGGCTCCGGGCCTGGGTTCTTAGCTCTTAAGTTGTTTATTTATTTGTTTCAGCAAAGCAAGTTCCGAGTAACCGGCCGGGGATTAGAGTTTCAAATTCGTAAAGTAGGTGTCGGGGAATGTTGGCCACGATTGACTGTTAGCCAGAAGAAACCAGCGTGGTTAAAAATCGATTTTGATAATCTTTACGATTCTGAGAGTTCGTCGGATGACTCAGAGAATCCTGAACAGGTAATTTAAAGGAATAATATTCCAAATTATGGCACTGCATCCTGGAATATTGCTTTGTATCAATCATCATAGCCTTAAATATATCTAATTGTTATATTACTGTCATATTCTTCACTCTCTGATTGGTCCATGTCCTACACATGACTTCCGTTGAATATCATTTTGATATTCACCAATCACGACATAGTCATGGGTAATTTAGTTATATATATATTCCTGAGAGTACATTTATAATGATTAATTAGACATCACTGAATGTTATTCCATTAATGTGAATGAGGAATATAATAGTGAATAATAAAACAAATATTTAATTCTATTTTTGGTGAATACCTGTGACAGACACTTTCACAAGATGATATTCCACTAGCCCTTCGGGCTTCACGGAATATCACTTGTGAAAGATGAACAGGTATTCCTATTCACCTCAATAGAATTAAATACTTGTATAATATCTAAGTCTGCTTTATTATTTAATCAATGTGGCAAAAACTTGATTTGAAATTCCAAATATAATCACTTTTGTATACAGATACCGTATATGAGATATGTACATGTACTATGAATATTTTTTTAATGAATATGCAGTGTTCGCGCTGGCCATTAAAATTTCTGAGTCCCAGGGACGCAACCCATTTGAAAGATTTGAGTCCCCATCTAATTTTTTTGCGTCCCTCTTATTTCTTCACAAAGTTCGAGAAAATATAGTGAAAGTGAAAATAAAGTGGGCGATAATAGAGTGCTTACACTATAATGGGATAAAAATGACATATATTGTAATTTGATGCATCCTCCCGATAAATATCTATCACTGGGTCCTTTTCACACAATTCTTAAGTAATGTTATACCAAAATAGTCCGAAATGAATAAAGGAAATGCTCAAATTAAGAGTTTTGTTTTCACATTTTACAAACCTGCGATCTTAAAGGTCATGTCAAGGTCGTGAACTTTTGCTTCTTTTTATTAGACTCCAGATTGAAAATCTGGAGTCTATTGTTTTTGCCAGTATTCTTATTCTTTTTCTTATTTTACTGCCCACGTTTTCTCAACAACTATAAGGTATCCAGTAAAGACCATTATACAGTTTATTTAGGTTCAGTATCTAGTTGGTGGGAAATTGGGTCAAATTTTTATCTAGGTCAAAGGTCAAGAACTAGGTCAAATCTTACATTTGTCTATTATCTTCCTCGTTATTTATCGAAACGTCTTCATCTTTTTTTCATCATGTAGCTTAGAAACAGCCCTTTCATAAGTGTGCCATCCATTTTTTGATTACTCTTACAGATTTTGAAATATGGCGTCCAGAAAGTAGGTCAAAATAAAAAGTTCTCCAAATTTAACATATGAGGTATGACTGAGGGGTAAAATTTTGTCGGGAATCCGAATCTGCAAACTAAATTTGGATCTGACTTCCGGTTCGAAAGTTATGGCGTTTTGAAATTTCGAGAAAAATCGATCTGATGATATCCTGATAGAAAGTCAAGAGTAGCGAAGAAAATATAGAAAATATCATCCATCCTTCCTTCCTATCCTGTCTGATCATATCCTTCCTATCTATCCTTCCTTCCTATCCTTTCCTTCCTATCCTATCCTTCCTATCCTATCCTTCTTTCCTATCTTATCCTTTCGTTCCCATCCATCTTTTTCTGGATGACTCGGGTTATTCTGGATGACTCAGTTTATTCTGGATGACTCGGCTTATTCTAGATGACTGGGCTTAAAAAAGTCTAGATCTGGAGTCTGAAATTGAACTTCGTTCAATTTCCAAAGTCTAGTTATCATTTCTCCTTATTCTGAAGACTTTTAGATGAAAAACCTCGATCTATCATTAAACATTTATCTTGATGTATAACATTAGATCATTATATAATGGTTTCTAGTGGAAATGATAAAGATAATCGTGAAAAACAATCGTTTCAATTTGTGGGGAACCACAGGGGATTTCTGCAATATTGTATGTTTTGATCTTCCATTTCGATTGCGGCATTTTCCGGAATATATCGGAACCAATCAAAATCCATGTCTCATACTGGAAACCCTGTTAATCTTCGGTAGTCATGATAGCAAATCAGATTTGTCGATATAAATATACCTGGATCATTGCTCGTATATCAAGGTAGTGAGTTTGAAAATCTTGATGAAAATCTTGATGAAAATCATGTTTCACCGCTACTGTGCTGCAGTAAAAGTTATCTTGAAGCAGTTTATAATTTTTGCGTCCTAGGGACGTAAGTTGATTTTGATTTTTACGTCCAACCTTCTGAAATTTCCGTAAAAATGGCAAAAAACGGCGTCAACGCGAACACTGAATATGAATATTTTGCCCCTTGTTGTGTATAGGGCTTAATTTACCATCCATGGTTTATTCATTTTAGGACTTTGAAAAAGAAATGATGGCAAAACTTGGAAAAGACATCACGGATACCAAGACATCAGGTGAGTTAAGAATCTCTCATTCAACCCCATAATGTAAATATGTGAGAGAGAAGACCAAGAGCTTTTGCAAAACACAGCAGAAAAAGAAACACCCAAGAGCATAGCTAGGCATAAGGAAAACAATCCCCACTATCTCAAACTATGGTTTTCTATTTTTCTGAAAATAGAGCAGAGCATTGACCTTATATTGTTACATGTACTGTTTTGCCGTATCAAGTTTTACTTCAGCTCCTGTCCTGATGTATCAACTATTACTTCAGCTCCTGTCCTGATGTATCAACTTTTACTTCAGCTCCTGTCCTGATGTATCAACTTTTACTTCAGCTCATGTCCTGATGTATCAACTCTTAATTCAGCTCCTGTCCTGATGTATCAACTTTTACTTCAGCTCCTGTCCTGATGTATCAACTATTACTTCAGCTCCTGTCCTGATGTATCAACTTTTACTTCAGCTCCTGTCCTGATGTATCAACTTTTACTTCAGCTCATGTCCTGATGTATCAACTCTTAATTTAGCTCCTGTCCTGATGTATCAACTTTTACTTCAGCTCCTGTCCTGATGTATCAACTTTTACTTCAGCTCCTGTCCTGATGTATCAACTTTTACTTCAGCTCCTGTCCTGATGTATCAACTTTTACTTCGGCTCCTGTCCTGATGTATCAACTTTTACTTCAGCTCCAGTCCTGATGTATCAAATTTTTCTTCAGCTCCTGTCCTGATGTATCAACGTTTACTTCAGCTCCTGTCCTAATGTATAAACTTTTACTTCAGCTCCTGTTCTGATGTATTTTTATATTTACAGCTGTTGCAGATGTGAAACTAGGGTACCTGTTTATATACAACATGTTCCAGTTCATAGGATTCTCTCTAATATTTGTCAAATTGCAATACAAGTACTGGAAGGATGGAGAAGGTAAGTTGATGTTTTCAAAAAAAAAATTATTCATAGCTTAGTGTTTTTCTTAACTTATATTGAATAATAGATTGCATAAATTGTTGAAGGACTACTTTAAAGCATTGGTCTCTGATCCCTTTCAAAATAAAGTAGAAATTATTCACTTTGTTTAAAACAAGAGGTAAAATTTAAAGAGATACATACATGCTTTACAATAGAAACAGGTTATACTCTTTGCGGGGATCTCATTAAAGCATGGACAATGCACCCAAATGAAATCTTTATCATCAAAATTGTAGAAATTCAATTTATCTCCCACATGCAGAAAAAACTTAGGAAGCACTGCTTTGTAATTACTAATACATATTCAAACATGCCAAGTGTGCATTTAATTTTTGATAAATGCACTGACTGAGCAGTACTATTCTTTAAAAAGGGGTTACAGCATATCACCAGCATATCAATGCAATGATTTTCCAACTAAGTTTTCATAATTGTTCTGCATCAAATTATTAATTAATTTCCTATAATATTTTGACAAACTCTTCTCAAAAGTTTCCAAACGAATTTCTTCAAAGACAACAATTGTAGATGTAAATGGTGAACTGTTCTACTTCATCATTGCCAGAGCCATGTTTGAATAGCAATAAAGAATCTTGTATCATTCTATATTGGAAATATAAAAGCATTTGTGTATGTACTAACCCATACATGATTCTTTATTCCTTAAATATATATCATTTTCAGATTCCAAAGGGGAAGCATTTGAAAATGTTGGGCCAACATTTATGATGTGTCAGATAGTGGCTTGTCTTGAAATTGTACATGTGTTGACTGGGGTAGTTAAAGGAGCTTTATTACCAACAATTGCCCAGGTAGGTACATTATGCATTGATCTCTAAAAAAGCTCATAAATTGGTACTTAGAGCTTGTTATGTCACCACAAGTACCGACATATTGTTATAGTCTCCAACCTTTTTGTGGACAGTGTTCGGCGGTCAGAGTTTGGCATTTGGCAGTCAGTATCTGAAACAAATGGTAGCATTTTGACATCTGTTTAATCTGAACGCCTCTGGGACTGGCCAAAAGTGTTCAGATGGGCAGGTGTTCATTTTTTAAGGATTTTTTAATGTTGAAATCTATGGCAAATTAAGAAAACAGAATATAAAATAAAAGTGTTAACTTGTTTATGTTTACAATTTTGAATGAAAGAATATTGTACAGTTTCTTAGCGTCTTCTATAACTGATTAATGTCACGTTATATTACCAGGTATTTGGCAGATTCCTCATCCTGGTATTGATCGCATCTGAAGACAGAATCAGCGATCGCTACGTCGTCTGGTATTTATTCCTCACTTGGAGCGGCATTGAGCTCGTCAGGTAGAAATATTTCTGAATTTCGACCAGCCAATGTGTTGGAAGATTAATTTTTATTTGCAGAGTTGGTACCCCGGACAGTTTCAATGATGCAGTTGTGTTTTTACTCTAGAATGACAAGGAAACAATAATTTTGAATGAAACTTTGTACATAAAAACCTTCTATTATGAAATCTCATTTGTTTCATTTTATTCTCATTGGTATTGATACAAGGGGTCTTTTGGTCACACAACCAAACCAAAAACAAATTCTTTTGAGTGCTTTTTACTGTTAAAAGTAAACTTATCATTCAAAATCATGCAAGATTATTCCATCATTTTGAATATTGAACATTTTTTTTCAATTGCTCGGTGTACCAATATAATCACTAATTTCTTACGAATAAAATTTTTCAGGTATAAAAAAAACTGAATATTTTTCAGGTATCCATTTTATATGTTGAGCAGTATTAAACAAGAGATCTACCTAATCACATGGCTAAGATATACTTTATGGATACCCCTCTATCCATTGGGCTTTATTTTAGAAGGTACGTACTGACACTTGAATAGGCTTATTCACTGACAATGTTCTCGTGCCTGTATTATGAACAAATTGAGTGAGGGGGTGTAGGATTTCTGCTAGAAAATTGTTGGAATGCTGCTAATTGCGCATGCTTGACTGTTGCTTATTTAGTGTTTTTTATAAGTAAACTTTCTGATGAAAAAATAAATCTTGCAGATTTGTTGAATTATCTAGCAGAAATGGTACAGTCCCCTCCACTCATTTTGTCCAATTTGCTGGCACTGTTTCAGTGGTAAAATTGAATCTGGGCCAAAGACAAATATTCTAATTAGTATGTTTATCTCAAATAAAAATATAGTTGGGACCAATTGGAAAAAATGTAAATAGTAAATTAATTGCCTTTTAAAAGTGAAGAGTAGAAAAATTTAATTTGGAACTTGCTTAAATCTACACTTCCCTCAATAAGTTTGCCAAACTAACTAGTAAATAAAATTTTCAAAGTTGATAAACAATTTTTAAACCACATTTCTAGGTGTAGTTTTACATGTAGATTTTACATATGACATCACTTTGACTGAATTTTGAATATTCAATAATGTAAATCAAGATTATTTCTACTTGCATCTATACTAAAAATTTAAGAAATAATAACACTACTTTGATTTATTTGTTTTCAGGATTTGTGTTAATATTAGCAGTACCATTCTTTGACCAGACTGGAAAATTCTCCATCACTCTACCAAATGCTGCAAATTTTGCATTTCATTTCCCGATGTTCTTAATTTTCTACATGATCATATTTATGCCAGGTAATTTTATTGAATGATTTTTTCAATTTTTATTAAAATGAATAACTAATTTAATAGATAAATACATGACATGTACTGTTTCAACACAATTAAATGTCGCTTTGGCTCCTGTCCTGATGTATGAAATGCTACTACCACTCCTGTCCTGTTGTATCAAATGCTACTTCGGCTCCTGTACTGATGCATCAAATGCTACTACGAATCTTGTCCTGTTGTATCATATGCTACTTCGGCTCCTGTCCTGTTGTATCAAATGCTACTTCGGCTCCTGTCCTGTTGTATTAATTGTAACTTCAGCTCTTGTCTTGATGTATCAAATGTTACTTCAGCTCCTGTCCTGATGTATTAATTGTAACTTCAGCTCCTGTCCTGATGTATCAAATGCTACTTCGGCTCCTGTCCTGATATATTAATTGTAACTTCAGCTCCTGTCCTGATGTATCAAATGTTGCTTCGGCTCCTGTCCTGATGTATTAAACATTCTGTTTCAGGTGCCTATATGCTGTTATCATACATGTACAAAGCAAGAAGAAAGAAATTGCACCCGGAAAGAATGAACAACGAAACAACACCAAAAACAAAAAATATGAAAAAAGTACTTTAACATGATCTCTAATAGACATCTCTGGAAATATTGTTTCACTATGATTTGATTTTCACTCAGAGACAATTCAGAGTGAAAAAAGAGGAATTTCCCAACATGCAAGCACATATATTGTTTCTGAAATCTAAGTAATTATAGCAAATGGTACAGGGGTATCAGGGAATCTAAACATTGGATGATTTGAATGAAATTAAGCAATTGTGAGATCTCGATTCTGTGTTTTACTTTGCATCTTCTCCCATAATGGGAAAGCCCAGAATCCGTACCTCCTTCTTCCCCTGCTATAACCAATCACATGATCTAATTATGGGGTAAAAAGAAAGAATATATTCTGGATTTTGAAGCTCTGTGATCGGAGGATGGGGAAAACCCAGTGATAGAATATTTAATTAAGTTGGTTTGTACGATGTGATAATTGTATACATGTAGTGAAGAAACACTCTTGAGTTCAGGTGAAAGATTAATGTCTATCAAATGATATCTCCAAGCTTGGTATGGCTTGACTGGCTTCTGCTAACCTTCATAATGAAACAAAACAAAGAATGAATGTTACGAGATAATATTTCAAATAATCATTGTTGTAGTTCTCTCAAAATACTTTCCACATAGAAATTATATTACTGGACAGCAGAGAGCAGAATTTGATGTCTCTGTAATTTCATAACCTCCTTTAAGAATTTTGAATGTATCTAATTTTAGACAATTGCATGTTTATTTGTCAATCATGAAGAAAAGTAATGTAATTGTGTCGTAATTTTGTGTCAGTTTAATTTATTAATATATGACCATGAATGTTTTGTGCAATGAAGTACAAATATAGTTTCAATTCTGAATAAAAGATGGCGAAATAATTAACTTAATTTATGCATGTGGTTTCAATGTTCCAGTTTTGAAATAAAATGGTTATTTTATAGATATGCCATACATTTTTATAATTGAAAATGCTAATTTAATGCGTAAGATATGATTACTGAAATACTATTGTAGTCATACTCTCAAACAAGAAAAATATCAGTCAAGAGAAATCTGCAAGGAATAAAGTAAACAGGCATGTAGTCAACATCTCAACTGAAATTTCAGAAAATCATACACTTCATTTGAGCTTTTGAGAGAAATAAGAGGAATTTACAAGGAATAAAGATAGCAATTAAACATGTACAGTAGAATCTGTATATCTGAACACCTGGCTAATCCGAACACCTCCCAATCTGAACACTTTTTTCAGTCCCATTTTTTCCTCCCATTGGTTCCCATGCTAAAAAAAACTTGAAATGTGAGCACCTCTCAAATTGAACAGTGAACAGTCATATTTGAAAAATTTCAGTCATATTTGAAAAATTTCACATGTTTCATACAAAATTGCTCAAATATTGTTATGATATCAAAACTTTGGGAAAAAAACTTGAATGGTCTTGATTATAATACTCACGCGGTACAAACTTCGACCGTTAATTTGAATTTTTGACCTACCGGATGTTTGAAAATCAAGGATTACGAGTCTCGTACTGCACCATTTTTTCTTCAAACTTGTTCCATTCAAAGCATAACAAAAATCCCTTTCTGTTGGTACATTATTCTCTTAAAGAGAGTCCCTACTTCTAGCGGCATTTTGGTCCCCAGCTGTAAGAAGGCCTTCTAACAGCTGGGGACCAAAATGCTGCTAGAACGAGGGACTCTTTACAATAAAGTAATGCACCGACAGAAAGGCAATTTTGTTTTGCTTTTAATGGTATACGTTTGAAGAAAAACGGTGTAGTATGAGACTCGCAATCCTTGATTTTCGAGCATCTGGTAGGTCAAAAATTCAAATTAACGGTCGAAGTTTGTACCGCGTGATACTGGCTTTTCAGCATGACTAGATTCATTTGAATTGAATTTTCAAATTTCTGAAATGCAATAAAGCTATGTGGTCAAATGAACTATAAATATGTACCGAGAATGTGTTCACATTTCTTCAGAATCTGGAATCTTGCGACTGTAAAAACCTAGAAATGTGAACACCTAATCTGAACGCTTTTAAGCAATGGCATTCAGATTAGACAAGTTTTACTGTAGTTCAAACTCCAAATTGTAAAGAAATGCAAAAAAACCTGACCCTTCATTCAAAGATTAGGGAGAAATTAGAGAAATCAGCAAGCCATGAAGCATACGCTGAAAGACTCTAGATTGTATAAAAATAGCAAAAAGAGGCATTTATATTTTACAGAGAAATGGACTGGAATAAAGCATGAGTAAATTGACATTTTTTTCAAAATGCTTGAATATCAGACCCTTCAAAATGTAGGTAGAAAATAATGGTGTGAACTTAGAATTAGCAGAATGGCCTTACAATTGAGTGTATTTGTCTAAGATTAAGACTTATACAGATTCTCTTGGACTAAATAACCATTGTACAAAATGTCCGTCTGCTCATGCTTATTTCACTCAATTTCTCTCTAAAATTTGAATAAAGTGTCTGATTTTTTTGCATTTCCATACAATTTAGAGTGTTAACTACATGTCTGTTTACTTTATTCCTTGCTAATTCCTCTCTTTTCTACTTTAATTAACCTTTTAAAACATGACCATTTTAGTTGGGAGCAAAGGTTTGATAAGGTTAACATGCTAAATCTTACAACAGATTTAATTTTGATCGGAAAATAAATGTCAGTCCTCAGCGAGAGTTCGAAAATATTGTCGCTCAGTGCAGTGTATGTTGAACATTTTGTCAATTTTGGAAACATAAGTTTTTTGTATGATAAACTTTTTACCAAAATTTCCAAATTCTGTGTGATTTTGCTCCCTAGAAATCGACAACAGTGATTGACTTACCACCATTATTACAAAAATAGTTATCTGTTCATGCTTATTTCACTCTATTTCTCTATAAAATTTAAGAAATAAAGTTTCGGGCATTTTTGAATGTTTGGTGAGTGTTTTATTTTTGTGCATCTTTTTAATTTTTGCAAGGCCCAGTTCATTTCTTTATGCTTGAAATTTTGATCATTGAATTCTTTTGAATGAGTTCCTAATAAGAAATTCTAGGTCAAGTCTACACGGTCATTGTTAGACATTCTGGTCAATATTATCAGGTAAGTGCAGTGCCATAGTATATTTGCCATGACGGGCATGTTTTGAAATGCGAAATAGAGTTGAAATTAGTGGAATTAGCAAGGAATAAAGTAAACAGGCATGTAGTCAACACTCTAAATCGTATAGAAATGCAAGAAAATCAGACACTTCATTCAAATTTTAGAGAGAAATGGAGTGAAATAAATATGAGGAGATTGATTTTCTTGACATTTTCAGATGTTTTGCATGTTGAAAGAAATGGTAAGTTTATATTTTCAGAATTGTTATTTTGCTACATTTGGCTTGAATTGATTGTGTTTAATAGCTTCATACAATGTGTATTTACATAGTAATTATTTTGATACAGAAGGGCTTGATGTAGGACTGCATATGTAATGCATTCACACACACTTTAGAATCTAAACCATCATTCTGGCAAAATACAAAATGAATCATCCTAAATTTTAAAAAAACTTCTTGCCTAGTGAATGGTAGGAAAAGGTTGATTGGGTGGTTCACTTGAGTTAGCTCACATTAAAGTCAGTGGGATTTGTTCCAAGAAAATATGTCCACAAGATAATGTTTACACATTTTTAATGACATTTTTACTGTTTTTGTAGATGTGTTGAGCAGAAACCTTAAATAAAGTACAGGATAAAAAGGTAATAAAATGAAATAAAGTACAGCGGTAAAGTAGTTGTTACCTTTTTAGGAATAATAGATAGTGGTTTCACCTGTTCTCCATGTAATTTGAAACAATTTTTTTCAAGCAAACATATATAAAAATCTGGGTTATTTTAGACCACATTGTTTTAATGTTTCTCATACATGTTTCCCAAAAAAATATGTTTACATAAAAGAATGTTTCACATAAAAGAAGCAGAATTAAAGTCATAAATACAAAGTATCCTATTTCCCAAAACTGCTTATTATGGGGTTTTATTCAACTTATCATTAAACTCTTGCATTTGATTGGTTGATTTAACCATGCTAAGCATTTTGGGAAATGACATCCCTTTCAACTTTGATGCACACATTTTATCATTTTTTGTTTGCACTTTCAATGATGGGAATTTGGCTGTGATTCCATATGGCCAGGAGTGAAGGATGTTACTTCTTGATTTAGCATCATGATGTCCAATTCGAGATGTGACTAACTCTGTGGAAAATATCACTATCTAGATGTGTATGTACCTACTGGGTGACTTTGGATAGGTAAGATTAAGAACTCTTTGTTTTTATGTCACCACCAAAAGTGACATTGTTGAAAAGTCTCTTTTTTAGACAGAGTTCAGTGGTTGGTGTTTGGCGGTCAGTGTCTGTAACAAATGGCAGGTGGTAACATTTTGCATGTTAATGGCTTGTCCATAAATTGATTGCCAAGTATGATCAGAGATTTAAGTAGTTTGTAACTAGACTCTGCACGCAGTGTAACCATTATATTATGGAACATTTACCAGTGAAAGTGGAAAGTGGAACATTTAATTTTCAAAAATCAGTCAAACAGGGATTTTTTGGCAAGAAACTACAGACCAAATTGATTATTAACAGATAACACTATTAGACATGTAAATATTTAATAGTTTTGATCAGTGATCGTTAAACCACAGAACTAAGCTACATTACAGCAGATTTGTAATCTTGTAAAATCTTAAAAGCATTTATTATTGTGTACCTTTAACCTTAGAAGCCTTATAATCCATTTTACAGCACATTCCATCTCTGAAGAATCATTCATTCTCCACCCTCCCTTATGATATGTTTTATTTATTTGATTGTAATTTTTGTTCAGATTTTGTCAATTTGGGATTTTGGAGGAGAATGTTCAGAATTTTGTGAAACTTATTGAATTTTTTTAAATGATTTGACCAAAGGAGAAATTTGAATTATATGATAGGGAATGATTTGTGATTTCAAGAAACTTAATTCTTTTCATTCGATTAGAGCCATTTCAGGATCGTTAGTATCGGAAAGTTTTTCCCAGAATTCCATTTGACTCCTTTTAACCAATCAACGTCGAGAATTCTGTACTGATTGTTCACTTTTGTGTTCTGCAGAGAAGTACTTTTCGGATTAAACATTGGGTGTTTTGCCAATTTAAAATTCCAATGGAATCTGTGGTTCCATTGCATAATATCTCAGACTTATTTTATGTTCCTAGGAATGAAATTCTTTGGTGTTTATTAATTAAAACATTCATTATCATGGAAATTTGAAGAAACATCAGAAATGAATTGTATACACAATATGAAATGAACTCCAAAATATAAAAATAGGTTAGATATTTGAGTTTTATAGAATTATGAAAAGAAAACTGATGAAATAAGTAAACT